CATTATTCCACAAACTACAGGAAATAGTTCTAAAATACATATGGAACCACAAAAGACCCAAATAGCCAAAGCAATCCTGAGAAGGAAGAATAAAGCAGGGGGGATCTCGCTTCCCAACTTCAAGCTCTATTACAAAGCCACAGTAATCAAGACAATTTGGTAGTGGTACAAGAGCAGACCCATAGACCAGTGGAACAGAATAGAGAGCCAAGATATTAACCCAAAGATATATGGTCAATTAATATATGATAAAGGAGCCATGGATATACAATGGGGAAATGACAGCCTCTTCAACAGCTGGTGTTAGCAAAACTGGACAGCTATATGTAAGAGAATGAAACTGGATCATTGTCTAACCCCATACACAAAAGGAAACTTGAAATGCATCAAAGACCTGAATGTAAGTCATGAAACCATAAAACTCTTAGAAAAAAACAGGCAAAAATCTCTTGGACATAAACATGATCAACTTCTTCATAAACATATCTCCCCGGGCAAGGGAAACAAAAGCAAAAATGAGCAAGTGGGACTATATCAAGCTAAAAAGCTTCTGTACAGCAAAGAATACCATCAATAGAACAAAAAGGCATCCTACATTATACCCTCAATAAAGAAAAAGCAAAGACACCTCAATAAAGAAAAAGCAAATAATATAATTAAAAAGTGTGCAGAGGAGCTGAACAGACAGTTCTCCAAAGAAGAAATTCAGATGGCCAACAGACACATGAAAAGATGCTCCACATAGCTAGTCATCAGAGAAATGCAAATTAAAACCACAATGAGATATCACCTCACACCAGTTAGGATGGCCACCATCCAAAAGACAAGCAGCTACAAATGTCAGTGGGGATGTGGAGACAGGGGAACCCTCCTACACTGCTGGTGGGAATGTAAGTCAGTTCAACCATTGTGGAAAGCAGTATGGAGGCTCCTCAAAAAGCTCAAAATAGACTTACCATTTGACCCAGGAATTCCACTCCTAGGAATTTACCCTAAGAATGCAGGAGCCCAGTTTGCAAAAGACATATACACCCCCATGTTTATCGCAGCACTATTTACAATAGCCAAGAAATGGAAGCAACCTAAGTGTCCATCAGTAGATGAATGGATAAAGAAGATGTGGTACATATACACAATGGAATATTATTCAGCCATAAGAAGAAAACAAATCCTACCATTTGCAAGAACATGGTTGGAGCTAGAGGGTATTATGCTCAGTGAAATAAGCCAGGTGGAGAAAGACAATTATCAAGTGATTTCACTCATATGTGGAGTATAAGAACAAAGAAAAACTGAAGGAACAAAACAGCAGCAGACTCACAAAACCTAAGAATGGACTAAGAGTTACCAAAGGGAAAGGGACTGGGGAGGATGGGTGGGAAGGGAGGGAGAAGGGGGAACATGGGGCATTATGATTAGCACACATAATGTAGCAGGTGGGGATACGGGAAAGGCAGCATATACAGAGAAGACTTACTACACTGATGGACAGTGACTGTAATGGGGTATGTGGGGGGGACTTGATTATAGGAGAGTCTAGCAACCATAATGTTGTTCAAGTACTGGTACAGTAATGATATCAAAATACAAAAATTGAAATAAATAAAATAAATAAAAAATATCTCCCATTCAAAACAAAACCCAAGTCATACAGTTTAACTAGATAATTGCAATGCAAAAATACAAATATATTAAAACTATTACACAGTCTCACTCATGAGATATACAAATTCCAAATAAAATAGTAGGAAATAAAATCAAGCAGTGAAGAAAAAAGAGAAAGAAAGAAAGGAAAGGGGAACAGAAGGTAAAGAGAAGGGAAAGTAAAGAGAAGGGAAAGGGAAGGAGGAAGGGTAGAATATCCAATAAAGCATTCGGAAACAAGAGGATGCCCACTCTCTCCATTTTTAGTCAACATAATTCAGGAGGTCCTCGCCACAGCAATCAGACAACAAAGAAAAAAAAGGCATCCATATTCGTAAAGAAGAAGTTAAACTATCACTGTTTGCAGATGACATATTGTACATAAAAACCCCTAAAGAATCCACTCCAAAACTACTAGATCTAATATCTGAATTCAGCAACGTTGCAGGATACAAAATTAATACACAGAAATCTGTTGCATTCCTATACACTAATGAACTAGCAGAAAGAGAAATCAGGAAAACAATTCCATTCACAATTGCATCAAAAAGAATTAAATTCCTAGGAATAAACCTAACCAAGGAAATGAAAGACCCATACCCTGAAAACTACAAGGCACTCTTAAAATAAATTAAAGAGGACACTCACAAATGAAAACTCTTTCCATGCTCTTGGCTAGGAAGAATTAGTATTATCAACGTGGCCATTCTGCCTAAAGCAATCTACAGATTCAATGCAATCCCTATCAAAATACCAGCAGCATTCAAGCAGTGAAGAAAAAAGAGAAAGAAAGAAAGGAAAGAGGAAGGGAACAAAGGTAAAGAGAAGGGAAAGGAAAGTTCTAAAATCCATATGGAACCACCAAAGACCCCAAATAGCCAAAGCAATCCTGAGAAGGAAAAATAAAGCAGGGGGGATTAAGCTCCCTGACTTCAAGCTCTACTACAAAGCCACAGTAATCAACAATTTGGTACTGGCACAAGAAGAGATCCACAGACCAATGGAATGGACAAGAGCACCCAGATATAAACCCAAGCATATATGGTCAATTAATACACGATAAAGGAGCCATGGATATACAATCAGGAAATGACAGCCTCTTCAACAACTGTTGGCAAAACTGGACAGCTACATGTTAAGAGAATGAAACTGGATTATTGTGTAACCCCATACACAAAAGTAAACTAAAAATGGATCAAAGACCTGAATGTAAGTCATGATACCATAAAACTCTTAGAAGAAAACATAGGCAAAAATCTCTTGAATATAAACATGAGCAAATTTTTCCTGAATGCATCTCCTTGGGCAAGGGAACAAAATAAAAAGTGAACAAATGGGACTCCATCAAGCACAAAAGCTTCTGTACAGCAAAGGACACCATCAGCAGAACAAAAACGCATCCTATAGTATGAGAGAATATATTTATAAATGACATATCCGACAAGGGGTTAACATCTAAAATACATAAAGAACTCACACGCCTCAACACCCAAAAAGCAAGTAACCCAATTAACAAATGGGCAGAAGATATGAACAGACACTTCTCCAAAGAGAAAATTCAGATGATCAACAGGCACATGAAAAGATGTTCCACATCGCTAGTTATCAGGGAAATGCAAATTAAAACCACAATGAGATAGCACCTCACATCAGTTAGGATGGCCAACATAGAAAAGGCTAGGAACAACAAATGCTGGTGAGGACGTGGAGAAAGGGGAACCCTGCTACACTGCTGGTGGGAATGTAAACTAGTTCAACCATTGTGGAAAGCAATATGCAGGTTGCTCAAAAAACTCAAAATAGAAATACCATTTGACCCAGGAATTCCACTCCTAGGAATTTACCCATGGAATATAACTTCTCAGACTCAAAAAGACATATGCACACCCCTCTTTTTATTGCAGCACTGTTTTCAATAACCAAGATATGGAAGGAACCTAAGTGTTCATCAGTAGTTGAATGGATACAGAAGAGGTGATACATATACACAATGGAATACTATTCAGCCATAAGAAACAAATCCTACCATTTGCAACAACATGGATGGAGCTGGAGGGTATTATGCTCAGTGAAATAAGCCAGGCGGAGAAAGACAAGTGTCAAATGATTTCCCTCGTTTGTGGAGTATAACAACGAAGCAAAACTGAAGGAACAAAACAGCAGCAGACTCAGAGACTCCAAGAAGGGACTAGCAGTTACAGAAGGGGATGGGTGGGGAGGGCAGGTGGGGAGGGAGGGAGAAGGAGATTGAAGAGTATTATGATTGGCACACGTGGTGTGAGGGATCACGGGGAAGACAGTGTAGCACAGAGAAGGCACATAGTGACTCTGTGGCATCTTACTACACTGATGGACAGTGACTGCAGTGGGGTACAAGGGGGAACACGATAATATGGGTGAATGTAGTACCCACATTTATTTTTTCATGTGAAATCTTCATAAGAGTGTATATCAATAATACCTTAATAAGAAAAAAAAGAAGGAAGGAAGGCAAGAAAGGAAAAACGAAGGAAGAGAAAAAGGGAGGAAGGGTAGGAGAGAGGAAGGAAGAAAAAGAAAGAAGAAATACATACCAATGACTTACCTGGGTATATCCAAGAATGGGAAGTTAAGAAAAATCTGCCAATATAAATTTTCATATCAACAAATTAAATACTATACAACCTCAGGAAGAGATGATGAAATGACATTTCATAAAACTCAGAAGCCATTCCTACTTAGATACAAGGAAGTTTTGCGCACGAATAAGAGAAAAAAATTAGAAGGCAACTATTTGGCAGCATTATGCTAACTGCCATTCCCTTAGTTAACAACCAGATTTGGTGATTGAAATTTCCAATTTTAGAGTCTCTTATAGTTATGGAAGCATTTCCCAATGAAGTTTCACATTCCTCAGGTGGTTAACAGGTAATAGAAATCAGTATTTCCTTGGTAAAGTTTGAGATACACCAGTTTAAATGATGAACAGTTTTCACCAGAACACTCCTTTTTGTTTTGTTTCCTTCTTTTTTTTCGTATCATTAATCTACAATTACATGAGCAACATTGTGGTTACTAGAGCTCCTCCATCACCAAGTCCCCCCCACGTACCCCATCATAGTCACTGTCCATCGGCGTAGTAAGATGCTGTAGAGTCACTGCTTGTCTTCTTTGTGTACTCCTTTGTTTTTGATAAGCTGGTAACGTGCTTTTGCTTTTTCCTTAGATGTAAATTTAGTAGATGCTACTTCGTAAGATTAACCAGAATACTTCCCTTGTTTTCCAAATACTACCAAGTACTGGTGATTCTCGAGACATAGCTTCAGAAATGCTGGGATAGGGCCACTCACACATGCAAATGATACCCAGAAGTGAAATACTGATTAGCAATGGTTTATTCTATTAAAACAAAGTATTCTGCTTTGTGTCACATTTTATTATATTTGCAATTGTATGGAACAAAGCTGTCAATCAACAACAGATGGTGAATGATTGAACGGTGATATAGTTGATGGCCTATGTACACAAAATGTACATAGAGGTAAGGTGCAGATTAAAAATGAGCAAGATGAATCACAAACATTTGTCAATGCATTAATTTTGATGGAACTTACATTTTTGGAAATGAATAATTTTTAAAGGGTTGACTTCTAACTTGGTGAGTATATAAACATACACTTATTTCATCATAACTAATATGCTTTGATGCTAGTACTGTCATGACAGTGACCTGGTTACCTAATTGAGAAGCCACCAATTTTAAGATGTGTTCTGCTTTCCAAATATTTTTAGAATTGATTAAATCATGAGTGATTCATACTTTAAAGTGATGTAAATCTAAGATAAACTTATGAGTTATATTTGTGCTGATACTTTTTTTGGTCAGCCTATATTAATATCTAAACTAGAGAACTTTGGGTCCAGATATTCCATACAAATTTTTTTTTTTTACACAACTCATACAACTTAACCTTTGAATTGTTTGCTGATATTATAGATTTTTGCACTTATTCAATTCATCCAACTTTTGCTTTTAGAAGCAATTTCTACTCAGTTTTGCAGCTAGATTTACATTATCCAGGTAAGGGGAGCTAGTACAATTTTTAGTTTTTGTTTTCACCTTTGAGTTTTTACATAAGGAGCTAACAGTTTCCTAATGTTGTTTCTAAAAGGGGGACTGTGGACCGAAGTTTTGTTTTCCATTTTTTAGTGGCCCAAATAGGTTTAAATATATTCTATTACCTTAAAATTTAAAACTTTCCGTATTTATTTGTCTCCTTTCTTATTAATGTGCATATTGCCTTCTTTCTTGACTTTTCCTTGTTCAGGTTTACCAAAGTCTAGTTGAAGTTAATGGACTTTTCGGAGAAAAATACTGACTGAAGACTACTGTTTTCCTAATCAGTAATCTCAATTTTAGTTGTATCAACTGCTTCTCTGTATTGGCTTAGGGTTTATTTTCCTAGCTTCTTAGCTCCATGTGACAAGAACCATCTAAATACTGGGAAAAACGTCCCAGCCCTCCATCTGGGCCAGATGCGTCTTGGTTTCTTCCAAGACACATTAAAGGATATTACTTTTTCACTGAGTACAGCTTTAGGCACATCCTATGAGTTCCGATACACATTTTATTATCATTCTTTTCTGAAAAATATCCATAGTTATTTCAATTTCCTCTTTTAATTCAGAGCCTCTATGTACATATGATCATACCTTTCCAAAAGTAGTTGCCCAAGGCGCACCGATCCTACTAGTTGTGTGATGGATATTTGTACTGGAGAACTCTTAGTCACCATCTTAATCAGGTGATTGAACTTAGTATTGATGACAACTGGAAAGTGGGCATTATGTGCTTCTGAAGTGTTGGATATAAAGCACATCGCCTATGAAGTGTTCTGGCCAAAAATGTTAAAGCTGCTGGCTCTAATTTGATTTTATGAGAGATACAAAGGATACAGGCACAAATTTCACCATGAAGGAAGAAACAAATCTAGAATGTATGATATTCTATAAAACAGCTTTCCTGAACTCTTCAAAAAGTCTACTCGACTAAAATCTAGGCACATGACAGCCCAATGCCATGCATGAATATAGAAAGATACTCATTAGAAATTAAATAGCATTAGGATAAATTCTTGAGAACACTGGGAAATATGAAGTGAATATAAAAGTATTACAGAATCAGTGATAATTTTCTCATGTGATCATAATATTAAAGAATAAGACTGTTCTTAGTCTTAGAAGATACATACTAATATGTTCAGAAATTAAGTATCATGATTTCTACATAACTCAAATGGTAGATGAATATACATATACATATAAATTGAAAGAGAAAGCAAATATGGCCAAATGTTAACAGTTGATTCTATACAGAAAGTATATGATATTCATGATACTATTCTCTAAACTTTTCTTAATATCTGAAAATAGTCCTAATACAGATTTGAGAAAGAATTCCTAAATGGATGTTTCTTTTTGTGTTCTATCTTTAATTTCTATTATATTGTGAAATGTGAATGAAGAATTTTAATTACTGGCTACCTGTGTGTTGGAATTCATTATAGACAAATTGCTTCCCCCTCCCTGATTCTTCAATAAGATTTTATCTAGAAATATCTGAATTCAAATGGTTAAGCGGTTATGGGAAGCTATTCTAAATCCATTATTCTAAGGGCATTCATCTCCTAAGAATTCACCAATGGTAATACTAATGCTGAGGATAAGAAGAGCTAGTATGGGTCCAACACAGGCTACACACGAGATACTCTTCCACGGGTCTGGGGCATTCTAAGCCCATCTGGTCATTACAACGGCACAATCAGACAGTTTCTCATCACCAGCATTTTAAAGATGATACCCAGAAGGGACAAACATTTTGCCCATTACTTCACAGGTAGTAAGGGGGTGGGGTGGTGATGACATTAGTTTGTGCCATTTGTTGTTTCCTATATTTGTTACATTAACAGGGTTATTCTTTAGGATGACTTTGCTTAAGTGTAAAAGATTGGGTAGTGTTGTAAGGCTTCTCTGCATTTACTAAATGAATGTATTTGGCATAAATTCTTTTATGTTTTTATGGGCATTAAGGAAGCTCTGATTCCCACATTAGCCAAATCTTCCTATAGTATGAATATCCTGACATTCTAATCAGAGAGGTGACAGTGAGGGATTTCTTTTAATTAAATCATATTGTTACTTGTCTCATATATTTTAAAAAATGGGAATGTTGTCTCTCAAAGTATTTCTGGGGAAGGGCAAACTTTTTGTTATTAATTTCCAAGCATTCATGAACTGATATTTTTGTAAAATACAAGGGTAATGTTATGGCAATATCAAACTGCTATAAAAAACTTCAAACATCTTTCATGTTCTGCATTTATCTCATGATGGGCAGGTAACAATTTTGTGGACTAGCTCTAGTCTTCTAAGTCTTAATAGCACTTGTCTAAAGACTTGCTTACATTCTAATTCAAAGGTTTTTCATTTGGATGTATTCTATGATGTACTCTAAGATGTTTATCACATCTATAAGCCCACATTCCTTTCAGTCATAGGATGTCACAGCAGTATGAATTCTCTGATGTGCAGAGCAAGAACTGAATTAAGTTCTTCCCATATTCCCTAGTGTTTTTAATGAGTATGAATCCTCCAAAATTATCAGACTTTGTGCCATGAATAAAGAACTTCATATATTCCTTACATTAAAACAGTTTCACATCAGTATAAATTGATGTTCTTTCACACATTTCCTACATTCATTAGGTTTCTCAATGGATTTCTTCTCGTGTTCAGTAAGTTGTCCATACACAAAAGAATGTTGATGTCTCTTCAATGTAAAGTTTCACCAGGATCAATAGTCTCATTTGAGTAAGTTGTCCATATAAAGGCTTCCCCACATTCTTCATATTTGTAGGATTTGTCATGATTATGAGTTGTCCCATGTTGAAAAAGGCTTGAGCCCTGAGTAAAGGCCTTCCCGTACTCCTTACATTGATACGGTTTCTCACCGGTATGCAATCTCTGATGAACACTAAGTTGGTAGCCGCTACGAAAGAACTTCCCACATTCTTTACATTCAAAGGATTTCTCACCAGTATGGACTCTCTCATGTTTAACAAGGTTTGAACCCCGGATAAAGGCCTTCCCACATTCCTTACATTTAAAAGATTTCTCACCACTATGAATTTTCTGATGTTGAGTTAGGTTATAGCCACGACTGAAGGCCTTCCCACATTCTTTACATTCATAGGGTTTTTCACCAGTATGGATTCTCTTGTGTTGAACAAGATTTGAGCCACAATTAAAGGCCTTCCCACATTCCTTACATTTGTAGGGTTTCTCATCAGTATGAAATATTTGATGTCGAGTAAGTTGGTACCTACTGCCAAAGGCCTTCCCACATTCTTTACATTCATGGGATTTCTCACCAGTATGGACTCTTTCATGTTGAACAAGGGTTGAACTCCAACTGAAGGCCTTCCCACATTCTTTACATTCAAAACGTTTCTCACCAGTATGGATTTTCTGATGTTGAGAAAGGTAATAGCCACGACTAAAGGCCTTCCCACATTCTTTACACTCATAGGGCTTCTCACCAGTATGGTTTCTCTCATGCTGAACAAGACCTGAGCCACAATTAAAGGTCTTTCCACATTCCTTACATGTGTAGGGTTTCTCACCAGTATGAATTATCTGATGCCGAGTAAGCTGATAGCCCCAACAAAAAGTCTTTCCACACACTTTACATTCATAGGGTTTCTTACCAGTATGGATTTTCTGATGCTGAGTAAGTTGATAGCCACGACTGAAGGCCTTCCCACATTCTTTACAGTTATAGGGTTTCTCACCTGTATGAATTACCTTATGTTTGGCAAGGCTTGAGCCCCCAAAAAAGGCTTTCCCACATTCTTTACATTCATAAGACTTTACACCAATATGAATTTTCTGATGTTGAGTAAGTTGATAGCCACGACTAAAGGCCTTCCCACATTCTTTACACTCATAGGGTTTCTCACCAGTATGGATTCTCTGATGCACAGTGAGTTGATACGCACTAAAAAAGTCCTTCCCACATTCTTTACATTCAAAGTGTTTTTCAGCTGTATGAGTTCTCTCATGTTGAATGAGTTTTGAGCCATGACTACAAACCTTCCCACATTTCTTACAAACATAGGGTTTCTCTCTATTATAAATTCTTTGATGTACAGTAAGAGATTTGCCTTTTCTACAAGTGGGCATTTTTTCATAGCTGATTATCATTTGACTAAAGTATCCCTCTTGATGTCCCTGTAGTCCCTTGAATTTGCTTTTGCACTTAGAATTATTTTTGAAAATGGATGCCTGAAGGCCAAAAGGTTTACTTCTTTCCTTTATCTCCCAGTGGGAAAAATTTATTTCAAAAATGTCCTTTTCTGAAAAGGTATTGTTGGTCTCAGATGTTGACTCCAAATCTGAAAAAAAAAAAAAAAAGAAAAACCATATATTTTATTTCCTTTACCAGAAAAATAAAACTTCTTTATAGTAGAAATAAAAGATAAATTGGAAATAATACCCATAAGTGAATAAGATTAGGAGATTTATTGAGCTCACTCCTAACCATCAAGTCTCTCCCCTGTCAAACAACAAACTCAGCTTTGTGGTATGGATGTTCTGATCTGTTTTCTGGAGGATTCCACAATGATCACCTTAACAAGTGCCTCATCTTCCCATATAGATGGTCCCTTAAATCAAAATGTGCCATTCCATCAATCATGCCTTATGTGCCCAAGTGTGGTTCAGCTGAACTTTTAATGACTATGTAGGCTGGCAAAATGAATTGGAATCTGGAAAATCCCCAAACTCATAAACAAAATCATTAAGCTAGATAATTCTCTATCACAGAAATTTTTCTGAATGACTGGTGTTGGGCTAGAAAAAGCAGACAAAATCCTGCAATCTAGGCAATTTTTAAGTTCCAAGGCTCTACTATAGTTCAAAGAAGTGAAACAAAACTAACCCAAACTGTAGTATCACCTCCAATCAGCTCAAATCCTGATACAATCAAAGAGATGAATCCATCAGTGGTCATATGCGAAGCTTAGGGCAAAAATTTTTAAATCTAATTTGAAACCAGAAATGACCTGAAACTAAGGAGAGCCATGACCAAGCCCCAGTGCAGCTCCGTGCTTGGTGGGATCTCGGCTATCAGCCCCTCACCCTAAGTAACTGACTAAGGGAGAAGCATATTCATTCAGAGGCAGGGAGAAGAATTACCCACCCTTTACTGTTCATTTATTTAAAATGTCTGGCACACAATAAAAAAATTGATAGGCGAGGAACAGAAAAAACATGACCTATATAATCACAAAAAAAAACACAATCAAAAGAGACACAGAACAGATGATACAAATATTAAAATCAGCAGACAAGGCCATTAAACAACTATATTTTACAGATTCTGGAAGAAAAAATGGACAGTGAGTAGATGGGAAATTTCAGCAGAGAAATGGAACCTCTAAAATTGAACTAAACGGACATTCTACAACTAAAAAATCTAAAGAGATGAGAGACTAGGAAAAAAGAAAGAACAGTGTCATATCTGTGCAACAATATAAAAAAATCCAACTTCAGGCAATGGAGTTTCAGAAAGAGGATAGAGCCAAATAAATACTTGAAGATACTGTTGAAATTTTCCCAGAATGTATGAAAGACATCAACCTATTTTTAGCCAACTGCAAGGAGGATAAGACAGATAAAGGCAACAACTGGAAACCTCATAATCAGTTGAAAACCAAAGATAAAGAAAAAACCGTAAAAGCAGCCAGAGTGGAAGAAAATATACATATTAAAGACAGAGGAACAACTATAAGAATGATGGCTGACTTCACATTTGCAACAATGGAAACTACAAGACAATGGAATGTTATTTTTAATAGCTGAAAGAAGAAAGCTTTCAATTTATAATTCTTTATATAGCAAAAAATATTCTACAAACTGAAGTCAAGAGAAATTTCCAGCCCCAGCCATGATGAAAAATCTGTTATTGTATTTATTCTCACACTACAAACAATTATAAAACTATGATACAAGACACAGGGTTGAAAAACTCTCAAGATAAACATTATCAGGAGAACTCCATATTTATCCTTTCTGCCTGGCTGCATCCTCCAAAACAAGGCACAGGAAGACAAAGTCCCAACCGAGAGCAGTGGTCGCACTTGGGGAAGGATAGTGGGACCTGAGGTCAGGGCTGCTAAGACAACTAGAATTTATAGTTCAAGGCTTAGTAGAGGAAGGAGTCAAGCAAAAGAGCCCCAGAAATCTAAGGAGAGGTTCCCCATTGAATCTGTAGACAAATATTAATTTCTGCATCCACAGGGTGACTGTCCACAAGGTGGTTGGAGCACATGAGTGGAAAGACCTCAGCGAATACCTCACCTCCAAGCTTTCATCTGAGGCCTCACAAAGGCCATATATTCAAAGTATGAACTACATCCTGGAGGAGTACTTCTCACACTTTTTGGTCTCAGAATCTCCTATACTTTAAAAAATTATTGGTGAATCCTTTGCTTGCTCATGCATAAGTCTATCTACAATACAAAATACACAGATTTAGTATTTTTTGCTTAATGGTGACTGTATAACATTCTGGTTGAGTTATTAAATAGTAGGTGAATACTGTGGATATGTTTGTGGTAAGTAATTCAATCATGTACAATTGGTCACAGGTCTAAACTTCAGTAACTATTGCTGTTTAACGATGTCTTATTGCTTTGTATACATTAACATTTGGGTATAAAGATTGTGTGTATCTCCAAAAGGAAGCCACAATATTTAAATTGACCAAATTACTACTACAGTTACAGTGAGCTGGCCAAATGTAAACTAAAAGTAGGGCAGTTTTGTAAAACTTAGCATGAATAAATAAATAAGTAGATAAATAAATCTGAATTGAATTTAGTTCAACTAATTTGAATTGTCATGCAAGAGCTTATATTATCATTACTTGGTAGATAAGGCTTAACAGTGTTAGTGAGTATAGGTTAAACTTCTTTTTTAATGTTAAAACATCACTGGAGACTCAAAAGATCTTCTGTTTATATGAGCTATATTTTTTTATATTTACCATATTAGAAGTTAAAACAGAAATATAAAGACATTAATTCATTGTAAAATAATAAATCATTAAGTGTTAGCATAAATATATTTTATGAAAAATAATCATATTTTCCAAAACAAAAAATTAATGATTATTTTAATTTTTTGCAAGACTCTTTAATATCTGGTTTAATAGAAGACAACTGGAATCTCTGCTTCTGCAGTCAATCTGTGGCAATATGCTATTTTGGTTGAAGTATATGAAGAAAATCCAGCCCTACAGATATGCAATTAGTCTTTGACACTACAGATTTGTTATTCTTTGATACTAAAGTAAAACCTGAGAAGTGGTAGTTTCTTAAAAGTTAGCTTCAACGTAGAATACGCAGCCAGACCTGTTAACTTTTCACATTATGTTACACTAAAATCCATTGCACTTTGGATGATCTTTTATCCACACATAATTTTGTAACATCATGCACTTTAAAAAATAGTGATTTTCAAATAGGTCATTTGAAAAATAGTGGTTCAGTGAGTTATGCAGATCTCTGAAATACTGACATATTTCATTACAAAATATTTGTTAATCATATGTTAATATTACCATGTATCTCAACTATAAAGCTCAAAATGATGAATATGTTTCATACAACTTTCATTTTTACTTGAAAGTTTGAATTCTATCATTAACAACAAATACTGTTAGTTGTCTTTGATGTGACAGGGGCTCACTTGCAAGAAAATTTTTTCCAACTACCTAAGTCTGAATAATCAGGCATTCTTTCAAGAAAAAAGTGGAGTTCTATGAAGAAATCAGCCTGTTTAGCATACAATTCAAATAGCACAGTTGGTATTCCTTAAGGCAACCATCACACTTTGCTATATAGAAGAGCTTAATGAATACTTCCCAATTCATTGCACAGGTAATTTTTAAAGTACACATTCTATGGTAAAGATTTAATAAAACAAAGCCCAGGGCAGGGTACTGAAGATCAACCAACATGAGGAGAGTATCAGTACAAAAGAGTTGTCCCATGCAGGGAGTCAGAATGCACACAGGGTAAGGACAAGCATCTGTAAGTAAGTGACCTAGCATCGGTTGTCACACCCCAAAAGCAATGAGAAGGGCAATCACACTATCAAGGTGGTGGTGGTGGCAATGTAAGATGGTGAAATAGAGTTTGATCAAATAAATAAATATATAAGGATAATGGGAACCAGGTTTTTCACTATCAGCAGAGTTAGAAATATGGGAAAAGTAGATAAGCTGAAATAAAACCTGTGTTGAATTGGAATTGGAGATATCTGCATGAACTCATAGTTTTCAATATATGGATGTGAGTGGGCATGTGTGGTGTGCGTGTGTGTGTGTGTTCATATATAAATATATTTCTCAGCTCTGTCTTCTTAGAAGGCCTAGGGGCAGATATCTCCTAGCAGTAATAAACACAGCCAGTACCTAGATTTTGGCTTCTAAATATCATTCTCAACTAAAAGAAATCAGGATACCTTGAAGAAATGGCTGACTTTATGGTTGGAGCAGGAAAAGTACAAGATGAGCCTGACACAACATTTGTTGTGCCAGAAAGTAAGGAGGTGCTCAAAGAGTGATGGAGACGTGCCAAAGGACACAAGTTCCATGAGAGGGTTCTCATGGATTAAATCTGGAACAAACTCAAGTATTTTAAGCTTCGAAATAAATAATGGGAAGAACAGATTATAACACACTGACTAGAAGTCTAATATATGAATACATAGAAAGTTTGATGAGGAATATAGTATTTAACTGTCTCAAAGTTCCTCCTCACAAAATACTCATTAAAGAAAAAATTATTAATTTTACTGGGAGGACACCAGTAGGAACACTACTCTAATCAAATGCTCAAAGTACGCGTCATTAGTAATGCCAACTCATTTGCACTGCTGTCAGAATGCAGGGAGAGGAACACAGCATCAGTCCTGTGATGCTCCCGCCAGAGACAAATAATCTAAATTTGGTCACAAGGAATGAGTAGTAGACAAGCCCAAACTGAGGAACACTGCGCAAAATAACTGGCTTGTAATGTTCAAAAGCAGCTAGGAATGCAAGTCAGAGAAAGACATATGAACTGTTTCAGACTGAAACAGACCATAAATAACCCAAATAACTAAAACAACAAAACTATAGCATCTGGCCCAGGCTTATGTCTCTGACCTAACTTCTTATTACACATTCCTTTACTAACTCTGCCCTGGCCTTCTTACCATTCCTCCAGCGAAGTTCCTTGCCAACCACAGGGTCTTTGCCTTTGCTATATACTGACATACTCCTCCCTCAGATGCTCAGATCCCAGTCTATGTTTCTAATCAGGAAAGCCTCCCCTGACCATCTTATCTAAATTAACCTGGTCAATTCCTATCATTTTGTATTCCTTTTTGCTGTTAACATTTCCTGACCAACCTATCTTATTACATGACATTATCTATCTATCTATCTATCTATTGATATATTTACTTATTTTGTTTTTCCCTGGTTACATAAACTGCATGAGATTGGGCAAGTTATCAATCTTGTTAAGCACGACTGTGTTGACTGACAATGCCCAGCACAATGCCTGGCTAAGAGTAGGTACTCAAAATGCTTGCATAATTTATGAATGAATGCATACACATACACACAGAAATGCAAAAGAGCTGGAAAGCTGCTGAATCCAACATATAAGTAAAATAGTTGCACTGGAAACAAAAAGGAACCCAATCCTCACTGAAGTGGGAGGGAAATAGGAGAAGAAAAACAGGAAGGCTGGGAACGGCGATCAAGATGAAGTTCCTTTGGCGGCCCAAAGTGAGGTCTCAGTTTCCTCCCAGGCGTCAGGCCTTCACTCTACAGGCTGTGGTCCTTCGTAGGGAACTTCCCAAACACCATCGCAGCTGCTCCTCCCCCTGTGACCTGTGAGGCTGTTCCTTGCAATGATGGTTCCCTCCTGCCTTTGCCTTCCTGGGTTCCAACTTCGTGGCCCTCCCCGCACAACCACCCAGGGTTCTTCTCCTTCCTCCAATAATGCTGTCACATCTGATTTAGAAATTAAGTGTCAGCTGGCTGGACGAGAAATGCCAAATGCTGTTTCAGGTTCACCCAGGCTCCATCTCTTTAGAACAGAGCACAGTGGTTGGGACTCTGGGGGCGGGCTTCCTGGGTTCAACTGCTGCCACTGCCTCCCACCAGCTGTGTGACCTTGCGAAGTCACATAAACTGTATGTGCCTCGGTATTCTCGTCTATAAAAAGGGGATAAAAATAGTACCTACCTCATGGGGACTCTGTGGAAGTTATAATATACTTGCTCTGCTTAGAACAGAGTCTAATTTATAGTAAGCAGTGTTACCTATTGATATTATTATCATTACTGTTTTTATTTTGCTAAGGGGAAACTAAATTTCATGAGACAATTTTAGGGTTTAACTCAATGTAGTATATAACTTTGTAAAATGCAAACTTCGAATGTGTTGAAAGTAAAGGAACATGTTAACTTAGTATGAAATAAATTTTGTTCCCACCCACTATGTAAGGTGGAAAGGCTCTTTTGAAAGTCAGAGGATATGAGACGCTGTGCCCTAGCTGTATGCCCTGCACATGGGTCAGAAAATAACAATGAGCAGTGCTTTTTTGGTGTGCGTAGAAATCACCTGGGGATCTTGCGTAAATACAGGCTCTGTGCGGCCGGATCTGGAAGCTGCATTTCTAACAAGCCCCAGAAGATGGCAGTATTTGTGTAATACTTGACAATAAAAAAGTTAAAACCCCGCATAAACCAAATCATGGCCTCCAACCACTGAGAGGACAAGCCACATTCCTCCCTAACCCAGCGAACCTGCCTTCCCTTGGGCCCTGCCCGTCTCCCTCTTTAGCCTCTCGGAAGTCTGTCCTTCACCAACTTGGCTCTGGCCTTCCCTGGCTCCTCGGACAAAAGAACCACACTTTGAGTAGCAAGGACACATATCATCTCTAGAGAGGTTAAGGTTAAACACAGTATGAAACCTGCTTTCTTTGACAATGGTTATGAAATAAATGCCCATAATGCAAATCCAGCTTCTTGGACATTAAAGAAGAGAGGCCATGGCAGGAAGGGCCAGAGGAAAATAGGAAGCTCTGGGGGATGAGAAGATCAAGGAACTCAATGAACCTATTTCTAACCCAATAAATATCAAACCTTTCCTTTGAGAGCAGTGAGAAAAAATTCACCTGGCTGCTTCAAAGACAGCCTTGTAACTCCCAGTAGAGAAAGCTGATAAGGAGATTCTAAATTTATTTCAGACAGATGGCCTTACCCAGTGAGACCAAGTGACTGTAGTTCTCCAACATCACATCCATGTACAGGTCCCTCTGGGCAGGGTCCAGGCACTCCCACTCCTCCTGGGAGAAGTCGACGGCCACGTCCCCGAAGGTCACCAACCCCTAAAACCAAAAACCCGCACATTACTTGTGAAGTTAAAGAATTTAAGAAAATATTTCCAAGAGGAGAAAAGAGGCCTGTGAAAGATAAACTACAAGAAGAGGAAAATATAACAATCAAGTAGGCTAGAAGCCTAGGACATATATGGGTAGGGAAAAGTTGGGAGATCAGTAGGACTAAAGCAGAGTATGCTAGAAAAATTCTGTTACAGCAGAAAAAACTTCTTGGATACTGTAGATAACTCAGGTACCCAGACCTATCTGGTAATATAGAAAATAATCCCAGTTTCTCTTCTACTAAATAAAAATAGTGTGTGTTTGGGCGGGGGGTGTTATATGGGTGTGTATATATACTTTCAACCTGTTACGTGCCTGCTCATAAATTCTTTATAAATGTGTACTGCCACACCATCTTTTCCCTTCAAGGAATACAAAAAGACAAACATGAAAACCTTCTTCCCAAATGCACTATAAAATCTCTATTTTAGAAAAATGATTTTCATTAAATTAAGGCCTCAAGCAAATCATTCTGCTAGATTATATCATAAACATTTTTCTTATTACCATGAATGCTCAAAGTGTTTTTATTAGTTGCAATTCAGTTCATCATATGCACATATGAGATTAATAACTATTTACACATTTAGGTTCAACGAAACTAAAAGATTTTCTTAATTCTAGCAATCTATTATCCTCCAGTCCTTAAGAATCTGGGTCTTCTCACTTGTTACCACCAACCACCCCTTGCTTAACACCTTCCTTGTTCCCAAGTGGGAGGATACTGACAGAGGATATTATGCTTAACACTACTGCTACCTGAGACCTGTGCATCCTGGTCAATAATGAAATGGACTTTGACACTGGTGTTCATTGGTTAGAGAACCACTTTCACTGGAAAGAACCACTCACTGCTCCCTCTAATCCTAAAAGCCTCATGAAGCCTCACACAAACTGAAGGTGAGACCAAGAAATCCCAAGTTCCATTTTCTCTCTCTAGAAAACCGGGTTGTGAAGAAGTTCCAAGTTTTCCTGTGGCGCCCAGTGAGACCCTCATCACTCACTCATCACACCACAGACTTGATATGGGAATGAGAAATTCTGATAAGGGAAATGGTGCAGCCCTGACTGAATGAAGACTGAGGTGGTATCAAAGCACCACCCAAGACCGCCTGGCATGGATATACCCCAGGAAAACACCAAATCTCAGGCAGAGAATGCACAAAAATTTAAATTGTGCTCTTGGGTGACCATTCAGCTGTTTAAGGACAGAGCATCCTGGCTGGCTTCTTTCCTAGCTGCCTGCCAATCAGCATCTTAGCCTAAAAAAGGGAAACTGTTATTTGTTTTCAAAATGCCTACAGTCTTTCACTCTCTCCTATTTCCTCCTTCTCTTATATAAATCCTGTTTGTGCTTTGATACCAATCTACTTTTGGTTTACCTTCTAGTCAAGTAAAAGTGTGATAAATGTTAGTATTTCTTTGAGTTACTCTTTGACAGAAACTCAAATATTTCCCTTAAAAGACTCAATTCCTTCACTGCTTTGATTGAAGACTGAACACCCAGGAGATAATGAATAACGTGCTCAATGAATATGACGACACTGATTGGAAAAGAGACACAGGGAGGACAGACACTGGGCTATTTAGCACCATTTTTTATAGGAATAGAAGGAACTGAGAAGTGAGTTCAAGGATGGGGTTCTGTTAAATAGCTTTAGGATAATTAAGGGAAAGATTCATATAACCTAAAAATCACAATATTTCAAGGAGAGAGAAATACCAACTTACATCAGTCATGGTTCTACAATTGCAAGAACTAATTAATGCTCCATGGGGTTCCTCTATTGGTGAAGCATAGAATTCAGAGAAGCCAGAGCTGAGGAAGGAAAACAAAGCTTTAGACCAGGTGTGCTTAAGTGATCCCGTCCTGATTTAAGTGAATGTAAGCTTTTACACCTCCTCCATTCCTGTTTCTATTTCACACCCTACCACAAACCCCAAGGTCCTTCAGCAGGAAGGTTTCTGTTAGTGCCCAACTCTGGGAGTGCTGATGTGGGCCTGAGATTGGAGTACTGAGTCCTGCCCAGAATGTAGCCTCCTCCCTCCATTCCCACCTCTCAGGACTAAGAAAGGACCACATCGTCCAGGCTAGAACATCCTGCATGGGCTCAAGGCTCAAGAAAGTTGGTCAAGATGTAGAGGTAGATAGGATGCACAACTGCCTGAACCCAAATAGCTGACTTCTTAATGCATTCAGAATATCCATGCAATGAAATACTATGTATGAAATACATCAAGTTGAGGGAAATAATCAAGATAAACTGTCAATAGAAAAAATAGGTTACAGGCTGTATGGTATGATTATATTTATAAACTATTTGTATATATCAAAATAGAAAGACTGTCCATCAGACAGCAATAGATTAAAAATGTTTAGAAAGTTATGTATCTATATATAATACTGTTTATTTTTATTGCAGCCTTAATTTCCTTTTGTTTAGGTATTCTGCATAACTGTTGTAACCATGGCCATGCATTATACTAATTATATGATTTCCACATATGCTCAGATCCTACCTAGAAAAAGATGGCTGAAATCCCCCAAGAAATGTCATGGATACAATGATAAGATTTCAATCCTGCTTCTTTTCATGTCTTCTGACAGATGCATTTATTTTGTATCTGAACCTTTTTAGACACGATACTCTCCAGATAACTGCTGAATCATCTGATCTTATTAGTCTCACTTTGCAGCTAACATTAGTTAGAATAAAACTAAGTTATAAAACTCACAAGATAAATTCCATTTGCCTCTGCAAAGTTGGTCGTGACAGTTTACTTATAATTACCCTCCTATGAGTTCCTAAGACAGGTCATCTGAATGGCCTGCAGGCCTTTGTTGCTGGCTGCCTCACACATTCCTGTGTGTAGTTTTCCTTCCTTGTCTTAAAGATAACAACTATGTCTTTTGTTTACTTTATTACTTCAAATACTATTATCTCAGGGTCTTACATTTGCTGCAAATTCTTACTCAAAATTCCACTTACAGAAATGTATCCTTAAATAGCTAGAGAAGTACACAAGATGTATCACAAGATTATTCAACCAAAAATCACTTCTGATAACCAAGAATTAGAAACTATGTTACAGTAGGCAAAAGGCTTAGTAAATCATGGCCCACTATACCCTCATTAGTTATGATGGTATTGGGCCATGTGAATTTATGAAGAATATGCACAATTGATTTATTTAGTGATGCAGGCAGGTTTGTGAGGGATACATAATGAAGTGTATCTGAGATTAAGATAAAGGCTGTAGTGTAAGGCTTTCGGGATGTGAATCTGAGCTTGATTGTAACCAATTTCTCAACACATTTTGTCAATAAAAGGGATAAAAATAATGTCTACCACAGATTGTTGCACTGAAGGTTAAGTAAGAAAATCCATGTAAAATACTGAATGGTGAAACTAATTACCTAATGTAAAAGTTATTGCTTAATACTTCAACATTTATATTTTTCCTTCCTTTGATTCTTTATAAACATAATTTTTAGTAGGTACACATTATGCCATCACAGGATATACTGCAATTTAGTTAAATGAACACTAATTTTGTAAAAGCTCTTTCCCAGGCATTTTATCTTTATTCCAGGCCAATGGAGGTGCATTCTTTCTGGGTCATGTACACCTGACAATCTCATGAGATTATAGACATTTTGCCCAAATATCTTTAAATGAATTTACAAATATTTACAAAAATTCTGTCTCAATTTCAAGGGATCTGTGATCACCTGGAAATCATAAATGGAATAAGAAGATCTCAGGTTAAGATACTGTTTTAAATTTATAAGCACCTATTACAATCATCTTCATATTTCTCTTAAAATTTTATATAAAAAGTTGATGAATCACCATATAACATATAATACCATATAACAACAAATCTTAATATTTACTAAGCCTGTATCATGGGGAAGACACTGTTTTATAGAGCTTTACACATATTAACTTATCTTACATCGTTATAATCCTATTAAGTAGGTATTATTTTGTCCCAATTTTGTACATGTGGCACAGTCTGAATCACTTGTCCAAGTTCACACAGCTAGTAACAGGCAATGTCAAAATGTGAATCCAGATGCCCCAGATCCAGAGCCTTACTCTTTAACTACAACACAGTACTGCCTCTCAAAACCCACAGAGTTGGACCTGAACTACCCATGCTCAGTAGTGTTACAGATTTCCACCTAAAGACTATCTGAAAGTCTCTGCCCTTATTGGTGCAAATGGCTATGCTCAAAGCCTAATCACATTCCCACCTCTAAAAGCTTCACAACATTGTCATTTATTTATTAACTGAAATGATCCCCCTTCTACTTTGCCTTGTTTTAAAAATGGGGAAAGATAAAAAATTGTCTGTACACAATACCACTTAAATGCTAATCTCAAGCAACCATAGTCTAAAAATAAAGCAGTAAATTAATCTCCAGGAGGTCTATTTGTATACCAACAGAATGCTTACAGAGGGAGAGTGCACAGAAGGATCTGAACAATTTGCCAGATGAACATATGGCTATTGAGGAGAAGGACAATAGGGGGCCACTGGGAAAAGGGATGCATCAGCAGGGTGGGTCATTCGCCATAAGAAAGACCCAGGAGAGACACTAGTAGTGAAGATACTTCAGGCCAAGGAAAGCCAATATTGTCATCTAAAAACTGTTGCAGTCGGGGACCGCGAAAATGAGAGACCAAGTCAGAATGAGGTTTAATGCAGAGGACTTAGACTTCCTTGGAGACTAAGCAATGAGCTAGAGTGCCCCTGTAATATCACTTACAGAAAATTCTCTCAGCTTTACGGGGTCTGATAGCTTGGAAAGGCCATAATTGGAATGGTAGCATTACAAAAAGTCGTCGATTGAGTTTTACAAAAAATGAGAGTCATTATATTACAGCCTGTGTCAGATTACCTTTTTTAATTACGATTGGTCACACAGCGTGGAATTCATCCGGATATTCCATCTCCTGTGCAAATTGTTCATTCTATACTTGTATTAATAACTCTGTTACTTTTTCCACAAAAGATAGCCTTTATATTCTTAAGGCTAGAACAGGTCTCTGGCTTCCAGTTCAACTACACCGAAAGTGGCAAGATTCTCCAAGCATGATGCTTCTCCAAAATACTATTGATACTTTTCTGAAGAGAACTAAATGAATGATTGGATTAATCATTGCAGCTGTCCTGGGGATCATAGCCATAACTGCAACTGCTACAACCGCTGGGGTTGCGCTTCAACAAAGCATTCAGACTGTTGACTTTGTAGAATACTTGGCATTCTAATTCGTCAAAATTGTGGACCACCCAAAGATGGATAGTAAAATTAATGCACAACTGACAGATTTGCAAGAAGCAGTTATTATGCTAGGAGATCAAATTGTTAGTTTGAAACGTCAAATTTCTATGAAATGTGATTGGAGTACAACTGGATTTTGTGTTACTCCTATGTCTTATAATCATACTTATTTTCTCTGGGATAATGTTAAAAAACATTTGTTAAATCATGGTAATATGACCCAAGAAATATTAGAACTTCAACAGCACATTATTGATAATTTCCAGAAACAATTATAAGTATTAAGTGGTTCTAATCTATTGGAAAGCATTGCAAATGGAATAAGTAATCTAGACCTGATAAAACACTTAAAAGTTTTTAGTAGTACCACGTGCTACACTTACAATAATTGTATTGTTTGTTATTTGTGTTTTGTATAGGCTGGAGAAGAGCTACCGGAAAACATCAAGGTGCTCAACAGCAATCAGCACTCTGCTCATTAATGTTACAAAACATGCAAGCTAAACAAAAAGGGGGAAATGCAGACACCCCAGCAGTTAACTTTGCTGTAGTTTAGTTTCTGCTTAAGCTTGATTTATAGCCAAAACTAGTCTAAGGGAAAAGAGCAATATGTTTATTGCTTAAGTTTTATTAATAGCCGAAACCAACCTAATAAATAGAAAGAACAAAGTGTTGATTCCTGGAATCTGGTGTGAGTTATGAACAGTGTGGAACGGGAGCTGCAAACGGTTCCTGTGATCCTTTCTGAGGCAAACCCAGGCAAGGAACATACTGTGAAATTCACTAACCAGATAACTTAACACAATAGGAATATAAAAAAACATATCTAGTTCGCGATTGGTTGAATCGTTGAGAAAGTACATTCAATAATTATTAACCAATGATTGTTTCACTGCTTGCTGTAATCTAAAGACGCAGGGGCACTCTAGCTCCTTGCTTGGTCTCCAAGGAAGTCTAAGTCCTCTGCATTCAACTTCATTCTGAACTTGATCTCTCATTTTCGCGGTCCCCGACCACAGCAAAAAACAAAAGTGATGGTATGAACAAAGAAGACAAACCCGCCTGAACTTTGATTTCTAAATATGCAACAATTCTTTCTTCCTCAAAGTCCTCTTTAGAAGCTCGGCCAGCATTTCTTGGAGCACAGACAGACTTAACTAAAAAAGAACAAAACAGAAAGTCCTCTAGGGCCACATCTGCCTTCATCCACACATAACAAAATGGAATTGAAAGGGAGGCTGGAATCTTTCTCTGAGTTTGCAGAGATGCTTGGGGACAGAGGTCTGGTTGCAGTGGCTCTGCAACTTGTAGCCGGCCCCGAGAGGCGCCCCTTCTAGGAATACGTCTCTTTGGACCGTTCCACCACGTCTTCCCAGGAGCCAGCCGGGAGGACACTTCTAGAAGTAAAATTCTCATCCCCAGACTAGACCCACGCCTTACTTAAACGCTCACTCTAATAAGAGTGCGAGGCTGCGTTCCTTGCAGCTGTTTAACTTACGTCCAATGAGAATCTAGAGAGAACCTGGACCCACCGCCAAAGCAAAGCCACACGGCCACGCACCCATCACCCCGTCACCCGTCTCAGCTCCACGCAGCACCACGGAAACACACCCGGTGCTGTCACGCCGTCTGTCACGCCGTCCTTAGCCACTAGCGCACACACAGGCTTGAGGCTCGGGACACGACACGCTCAGTCCGCGACCGGGGCCTCCTCACCTCGAGCGCCTCCCGGGGACACCCCCACGCTCATTGCCAGTTCGGCGCCGACTCCGGTGACACCGCCGAGACCCCCCACGCGCGCCCGGCGCGACCAGCTCACCGCACAGAGTCTTATAGCCTTGAGGACACCGGAAAGGGACCCAGAACCCGAGGTTAGTTTGAACCCAGGAGCTTGTGGGTAATAACAACCGGAAAATCCTCTCAGGCTGGGAGCCCGGCCGTCAAACAGCTCTCCTCAGGCAAACTCGCCTCTCCCTAAAAAAAAAAAAAAAAAAAAAAACCTGTGCCCGGAAACTTCTGGGAAATGTAGTCCACAGCCGGGGACGCCTCGGAAGCTGGGAATCGGGACCTTCTGAAAGCTCGCAGCGCGCAACGTAGCTCCGCCTGTCAAAAGCGCGAATTCCGGGACCCATCCGCAGCGCTGCACTTCGCGGTGGGAGTAGCTCCCGGTTTGGAAGACCCTAGCGACTCCGTGTCTTCGGCATGGCTGTGGGAGAATTAAGTTTTTTAGCAAAAGCTGAGGAACGCATTCTGGAGTCCAGAATGGGTGGATCTGGGAAGGAGGTTGGGGATACGTGGTGACTAGTGACTTAGGTCTTAGCGAGCGCGGCGCACTTAACGTCCGTGGGAATAACCCCGAGCGACGCCAGGCGCTCGCCTGGGTCCCAGAGACCGGAGGTCTAGTAGTTGGACAGATGGGTGTGTCTTGCTCCACGTGCGTTTGCGGGTCCGATTCAGTGTCTGGGACCCTTTGTAGAGTTTCTGCCAGTGTGAATTTTGTTTCCTTGGGTTGTAAAGAGGCTCCTGTTAGAAATTATATGACACTCTTGGAAAGCAACAATAACTGGTCGTGAATGGATATTGTGATCATGAGGACTTGTGCAAAGGACTCTGTAGGACTGAGAGACATGAGGAGGTTCTGTAACATTGTATGTTTGTTAATATCAGGACAGAAGATGACTTAATATTTGTGAGATTTTTTAAATAGGCTTTTGTATGTATATCATGGTGATTATGAAAGTGGATCACTGTCTAGCTAGGACTGAAAAACAGTGCTGTGTTGTCTAACTTGGTGTGTGTTAGCTTGGTTATCTGACTACCAACCACTATATTGTGCCTGAGGAATTGTGACTGTTATAATGGTGAATGACAATACATATACACCGTTCTGTTATCTATAAAATAGAGTAGTATTATTACATCTTGGAGCGTCAAATTTAAGATGCAGAAAAAGATTTGCAATCTGTCTGCCAAATGATTTAGATATTATATAATGAATCATGATGTTTTGGGGGAAAGAATGCATATCAGCATAACTTCTAAAAAAAATGAAGAAATCTAACAACCAGTCATGGACTGGCTGAGGTAGGTTTCCAATCTTCTGTGAAGTTAAAGGGACTTAAGCAGATAACTTGGAGAGCTCTAGACTAAGGAAATAATTTCCCACTTATGAAAGAAGGTAGATTACAGCATAACCCTGAATTAGGGAATCAGATGACCTAGTTTACAGGTCAGGCATGGTAAGGAACCTGTTTGAAACTACATAATTAGTCCATCAATTGTCTTATTTCAAAAAATGATAATTACACTTTGTTGTATTCTAAATATGCAAAACCAGGTTTCCATTCCTAGGCAGGGCCTGATTTCTCTATTGCAGTTGGCAATTTTGAACCTAAATATTTGTAGTTTCTTCTGGCATTTCTGACACTTTTTCTTCTGGTCTGAAATAGTAGATAAAAATTGAATAATTAATGGATGCAGTATTAGTAATGGATGTAGTATTAGGGGAGAAGATAAAATTTCCTTTTCTATTACAATTTCAGAACAAACCCCTAAATGTTTCTGTAAAAAAAAATTTTCTTTCTGTCATTTTGCTCTTGTTTCCCCTTCAGAAGTCTCTCTTTTACTTCACCCTAACTGGCTTCATCAGCTAAAATTCCTTAAAACACTTTGTCATCAAACACAATAGCATTGCTTTCACTAATATCATTGCAGGAACAAATCTGGAAATGAAATATGCCCATCAAAAGTAGGATGGACAATGAAGTGCACTACCTAGACAATAAAATAATACACAGCAGTGGAAATTACTGAATCTAACAACTATGATGAGCAAAGAGTCATAGAAATATGCAGGTCCCATTCATAAAAGTTCCAAAAGAAGCAAAATTATGTTTTGTGCATAAGTGGTACCTAATGAAAAACAAGGATATAGTAAAATGCAGGAATTTGGCAACTTCAGGGAGATGGAAAATTTGCAAGTTATTTCATGTATGCTTAAGCTGGATTGTATTTACACAATTGTATACTGTTATTTTTTTACATACTCATTTATAAATATTTGAAATAAAAATTAAAAAAAATTTTTTTTGATACATGAATTGAAGGCAACTGTGTTTATTTGACATGAAGAAGGATGTGGGATATGTACACCAGATTTTTAACATTGTTCAACACAAGGGGACTGTGGGAACTTGTGAAGGCATGTAACTGAGGAAAAACTGATAGGTAACCAATGTAAAAAAAATGCCTGTTAAGTGTAAAATATGTACATTTCTGTTATTTACATGTGTATGTGTTAAAATATTAATAAAATACTAAAAATTATTATCATGAAGTAGTAGGCTATCAGGTGTTTTCCCTTTATATTTTCATGTCCAGCTTGAATTTTTTAGTCTGTTTTGTCTAATAGAAGAATGGCCTCCCACGCTTTCTTTTGGTTACCATTTGTGTAGGATATTTTTGTCCATACTGTATTTTCAGTTTATGTGTGTCCTTAAATCTAAAGCAAATCTCTTGTAGACAGCATATAGTTGGATTTTGTTTATTCATTCAGTCACTCTGTCTTTTGATTGGGAGGTTTAGAACATTTACATCAAAATAATTATTGGTAAGGAAGGATTTACTATTGTCATTTTGTTGTTTTCTGTTTGTGGCCTATTTCTCCTTATTTTCCTCTTATAAAACATAACAATCTATATTAAGCTGATAACTTAATTTCAATCACATACACTCAACACTTTTACTTCTCACTCCTCACATATTTTGTTATTGGTGTCACAAATGTCTTTTTATATTGTGCATCCAATAACATTTTAATAATTACAGGGTTTTTTTAATGCCTCCATCTTTTAACTTCTATACAAAGATTTGAACATGATTTGTCTATGTATTTACCTTCCCAGTGAACTTTATTCTTTCATATGTTTTTATGTTGCAATTTAGTATCCTTTCATTTCAACTTGAAGGACTCCCTCTAGTATTTCTTATAAGGCAGGTCTAGTGGTGGTTAATTCCCTCAGCTTTTGTTTTTCATGGAAAATAATTTTTCCTTTATTTTTTTGAAGGATAGTTATTATTCTTGATTGGCAAATTTTTTTCTTTCAGCATGTCAAATATATCATCCCACTCCCTTCTCGCCTGCAAGGCATCTTTTGAGAGTCTTACAGGTGTTCCCTTGTACATGATGAGTTGCTTTCCTTTTGCTGCTTTCAAAATTCTCTTAGTCTTTGACTTTTGGTAACTTTATTATGATGTGTCTCAGTGTATATTTCTTTGGACTTATCCTAGTTGAAGTCTATAGGGCTTCTTGAATCTGATATCCATTTCCTTCCCCAGATTTGGGAAGTTTTTAGCCATTATTTCTTTAAGTAAGGTTTTTGACCCCTCCTTTCTCCTCTTCTGGGACTCCCATAATGTATATATTACTCCCCTTTATGTTATGCTATAAGCCCCTTTGGTTTTCTTAAACTTTTTTTCTTTTTCTTTCTTTCTTTTTTTTTTTTTGTTCTTCTGGGTAATTTCTGTCACTATTGATCAAAGTCTCATTTTATTTATGCATCACTTTTTTGAGCATGTAGAGCATCTTTACGATGGTTATTTTGAATTATTTTTCAGGTAATTCATATACCTTCATTTCTTCAGGATTAATTTTTGGAGCTTTATTTTGTTCCTGTGTTTGGGCCATGCTTGTTTCTTCATGTGTATCATAACTTTGTGTTAAGATCCACACATGTGAAAAAACAACCACTTTTCCCAATCCTTAAGGACCAGCTTCATAGAGGAGAAAACTCTCACAAATAAGCCTGACTAGAGATTCTGGAGGCTTCTGAAACCATTTTCTGGAGGGGTCTGATTTCCTTGGACCTCTATGTGCACATTCTGAATTAGGCTTGCCAGTTTCTTTCATAGGAGTTTGTAATGTCTCACTCCCTCTGGTATATGTTTGTAGTCCTGTGAGTTCTCTGGTTCTCCAGCAGCAGCCACACTCCCCAGCAATGCTCAGAGTCAGGGAAGACAGATACTAGTTCCTTGGACAGCCTTCTGATAAGCCAGAATGCTGGAAACATGCTCCACTTCTCTCTCTCCCTTGCAAGAGGAAAGCCTCAAGTGAGGCTCCTCTTTATCAAACCAAACTGTACTGGCTGCAGCAAGGTGCTCCCACCCCATCTTCTTTGTTCTCAGCAGTCCCCAGGTATTAAAACTATGCTGATTCTGCAAATGCTATGAATGAAGCCAGACAGAAACCAGTCCTTCAGGCAGCCCTTTAAAGAGCCAGCACACAGCATGTTCCATTCTCCCTCCCAAGGAGGAAGCCTCAAATTGTACACCTGATCACACTGAGCTGTGTCAGCAACAGCAAACTCCTCCATGATATTTGTTCTCAGTGGTCCACAAGTACCAAATGATGCCAGGTCCATCAGCACTCTGAATGAGATGAGACAGAAACCAGTACCTCAATCAACCCTCCAAAAAGCTAGAATTTTGGATGCATGCTCCACTCTTCTCTCTCCCCTCTAGGGAGAAATTGTGAGCCAGGGTGTTCTCTCTTAGGTGCTGAGCTTGACAGCTCGAGATAGGGACTGACATTGGTAAAATGAAGTTGCTGTTCCTCCTCTTTTTTTTTTTTTTGCAGCTGTTTTATGCTTTGTGCTTTCTGGGATGCTGCAACTTCTTACCTGGATTCTGGAGTTCTCAGTAAAAGTGTTTTGGTCAAAATATCGTTGTTAGATGAAATTGGAGGTTTGGGCATGAATCCACGATTTCCAGTATATAAATATATACATATAAGTATGTGTATAATATGTGTGTGGGAGGGTCTGCATGCGGTATGTATATCTATTTCTCAAATGAACTAGTGACACCATCCCCCACCGTAACAATCAGCAAATCTGGTGCTCAAATCTTAGCTTTTCAGTACTGTTCTCTGCTAATGGAGAAATGGCTCTTTCCAGAGCTAGATCA